TTAGCTGAAGGAGGAACTGACTGATGGCCGCCTCGGGATCAGAGCCACAAGGGACAAGAGTAGTACTGTTTAAACACAGCTCTTTCCTGTTTTCACACCAAAGAAAAATGGTAGAATGCAGATGGATGAGTGGAAAAAAAGAAAGAGAAAATGTTGAACAAATAAGAGCTGTTCCTGTGTCCCTTCAGAAAGCTCCCTGGAATGAATGTCTTGTAAAAAAAATTGTAAAGAGAGAGCAGACGGGGACGGGAATGGAAAAGTGGTGGCGACTGGGCGACAACCTGTAAAGACAAAAATATTTAAGTGGAAACAATGGGAGGGTGGAGATGGTGTGGGCACAAACAGACACAGAACAAACACAACCGGCACAGAGACAGATAAAGACAGACACACCAAAGCAAGTCCACTTAAGCTGCTCCACAAACCCTGCAGAGCTCCAGCTCCAAACCCCAAAGAAAACATGCAGTCAGCAAACAGGACAGAATGAGAGAGTGGAAAATACCATGGAGGGGGAAAATAGAGGCAGGCTCTTACAGAATAGACACCCGATCATAGTAACAAAAACGCTGATTGAAGAACCTTACACTTTGTTGTCCATTCAGAATAGAAGCATGTGGGCTGAGAGTTTGTCTTACCTGAGAATTTGTCCCCCTCCATAACCAGATCACTCCCTCCACAGCCACATGCAGTGTCTGCTCTTTGACTCCACTCTCTTTCTCCCTCTCCCTCTCTCCCTCTGTCTTTTTTTGGACTTCCCTTTCTCTCGTCCCTCTCTCCCTCCCTCCCTCCCTTTCTCTGTCCTTTTCCTGCTCTTCTCACTCTCTCTTTTTCTTTTTCTCTCTGTTCTCCCTCACTCTCTCACAGATTGATTCCTTCAGTGTGTCTAGCTAATGAATTCAGAATTACGACATCGCCATGTGCTTATCATATGTTGCATTCACAGCTCTCTTTCTCTCTCTCTCTCTTTCCTCTCCCTTCTCTCTGATGAGAGCAAAGGACTGAAGCAGCATTGTATCTTGAAAATAGAAACCATTAGCTCCACCATGTGACATGCACAGGCTCCTTGAAAACTAAAATAACCCGCTGGACTTGCAAGCTCTTCTGTCAGCTCTCTTTTAAGGTTCCTTGTGTGTGAGTGTGTGTGTGTGTGTGTGTTGCATTGATTCATTTGATACCAACAACAGTCCTGTCAAGCTGGAATGAAAGACATTCCCTTAACTACGTCTAGACTTCCCCTTAAGATGAATCGGATACAGCTCTGCCTTTGTAAACGTGTGGAAGGATGATAGCCTGTTGAAATAATACTGACATGCAAAAACAATAGAGGGTGGAGGCAAGGGGGACTCCATCAAAACACTCTTCCTAAAAAAATCCTTTCAAGGGTTAATACAGGAGAGGCAGTGTGAGGAACAACATGACAGCAAGAGTGAAGATTTGAAGAAAAAAAAGTGTGTGTTATGAAGATTAGAGAAACCCCAGGCCAGGTTTAAAAGTGTTTTGCTTAGTGTAGACCCGTCTCTGCGTTCAGGAAACTCAGATGACCTCTGACCTTTGGCACGTCCCTCGCACTGCGCCGGGGGGGGTCACAGGTCACATGGCAAGCGTCTGAGCTCTGATAGAGAGATCAAACACACTCAGCCATGTCAGTCTGACGTCTTGTGCAACACACACCACTCCAGTGCCCCTTGTTGTGTATTGCATGTTGACCGTACATGTGCTTGTGTATTCATGTTTGCATTGAGAGTGCTTGTTTTTCTATTATATGTCTGTCTCTCGCCGGGTGTTCATTAATGTTTTCATTAAAGCCAGGTGCCTTGTTTGAATGCAATGGCTGATGAAAGAAGGAACATGTGAGCATTGGCGGCCCCAAATGGCCAAAGCATGTAACTCTCGCTTTTCCAAACCTAACAGGAGGTGTGGGGAATAAGGAAGTCCACAGTCCAATAAATGAGTTTAGTTTTGTCTGTGATGCTTTGTACTAAATATCACAGAGTTGAAAGAAACTGTTCTGGATTGGGAACTCACTCCCTTCAGTTTATAAAATACTCAAATTCATTTAATAATTGTGTTGATATTTTGCCAACAGTGTGAAGCTGTCTCAATAAAGACGTTCTTCCCTCTTCTTTCGGATATAAGATATCAAGGTGTCCATATGTTAACATAAATTCCTGGTTATTGACAATCATATTTGATAGACAATTAAATGAAAGATCAAATAAGAAAGTATTTAGATGAATTAATTACATAATATTGTACATGAGACTTTTTGGTCCTGAAATGTAACTATAGCATTATTTTCATATTATTTGATCACTTTCCCAAAAAATCTAAGAAGAACCATAAAACAGGATGATGTTTTATCCAACTCCAGACACCTCTGATTGGATCAGCTTTAATTGTGTGTCCAATGCGGCAAGATGTGTTGAATGGGAATTAACTACACTCAGATCAACAATAGGGACAGTATTGGATGGACCTGTGTGTGTGTGTGTGTATATATATATATATATACATATATATATATATATATACACACATATATATATATATATATATATATATACACATATATATATGTATGTGTATATATATATATATATATACACATATATATATGTATGTATGTATGTATGTGTGTGTGTGTGTGTGTGTGTGTGTAGGTACCAGTAAGGCATCATCCCAAACACCCGTCCGCTCGCTCGTAAATCTGTTTTGTATGGTGTACACACATACACACAAATGTACACACATAAACGTACACACGTACACGTACACATCATGTACACATACACACACACTCACACACAAACGTACAACACGTACTGAGAGACACACACACACACCCTGTGGCGACTGCATCAACGACAGGGAGGTCTGCTGACAAGCAGGTCCTTATCCTCACCCTTAAGCACTTCCCCACAACATGTATGTATCTGTTAATGCATATCCGCGTGTGTGTGTGTGTGTGTGTGTGTGTGTGTGTGTGTGTGTGTGTGTGTGTGTGTGTGTGTGTGTGTGTGTGTGTGTGTGTGTGTGTGTGTGTGTGTGTGTGTGTGTGTGTGTGTGTGTGTGTGTGTGTGTGTGTGTGTGTGTGTGCGCTCTGTCCCCCTAGTTCACAGAACACAAAAACAGGCTGACAAAACTGATAAACTTCTTTGGAGTTTGTGTAGCCTCGTAAAAATGTACTCTCACAATTTTCCACAGGTTTTTGAGCAGATTTGTAGCATGCCTGACTTAAGTAACACACACACATTTGACTGCTTAGCTGAGATGTATTTAGTTTAGCTGTTTTTAAAGTCTAGACTGGGTAGTGGCATGTGCTCACTCACATCTAACAATCAAGTTGCTCTTGTGTCCTCAGAACATTTATGACGCTCATGGTGCTGTCCTCATCTGCTCCCAAAACCTCTGCTTGTTTTGTACTTGCTCATTTATTTTATTTGAATTACCTACATAAACCTCTTCTTGTGCACACATAAGTGTACGCACGAACACACTCAACCACTATGCAATGTCAAAGTGTGTCGGCTGGTTCGTTGCCTGTCAGCTGTCTGAAGTATGACATCCTGGGGCCTGCTTCACGAAAGAGATTTGCCAGCACACGCAGATTACAAATGGTGATCTTGCATGCTCATGCTTCTTAGTAAAGGTGTCAAAATAAACACGAAAGGAAATGAAAAACTGCCTGAGTGCTGAATGACACTCACCCACTGACATGAAGTTTATGTGTTTATATGTGTGTGTGTGTGTGTGTGTGTGTGTGTGTGTGTGTGTGTGTGCAGGTACGTGCAGGTATGTGTGTGTGTGTGTGTGTGTGTGTGTGTGTGTGTGTGTGTGTGTGTGTGTGTGTGTGTGTGTGTGTGCAGGTACGTGCAGGTGTGTGTGTGCAGGTATGTGCAGGTATGTGTGTGTGTGGTGTGTGTGTGTGTGTGTGTGTGTGTGTGTGTGTGCAGGTATGTGTGTGTGTGTGTGTGTGTGTGTGTGTGTGTGTGTGTGTGTGTGCAGGTATGTGTGTGTGTGTTTCTTTCCCCCTCCTTTCTATGTGCTGATGGTGCAGAAGATGTTTGCTCATCTCACTGGTAGAAGATGCTTCGGTGGTGAGCCACAGCCACAGATTTAGCTTGCATGCCAATACTGTGTACACACACACACACACCACGCACGCACACACATGCATGTTGACATAAAAAAACAAAGAAGGGCACAAAAGACACAATAGCAAGTCTTCTTCTTTTTATGCATGTTTGGAAATAGCAAATGAAAAGCTCTGAAGGAAACCTGTTCGAAAGGTGCTGCTAAAATAATTATAATTGATTCTTGCAAAACATATTGCACCAGAAGCCTTAAAAGAATATAGAGACGCAACACAGTGACTGAGGACAGAGGCAACAATATCTAAAACTAAAAGTAATAAAATAAGTACCAAAGACGTGTGGATAAACCTGAGTGACGGAAGAGATACAGCTGCTCTTTTACCGTTACCATTTAATCTTGTTCACAGATAAACTGATTTTACAATATAACATTTTCTTTCATAGTTTTGGGGAATTTTGTTTGAAATGTCCTTTGTAGACAAGAAAGAGGCACACAATTCTGCACGTAGAGACTGAAAAAACACATCCACCCACACACACACACTCACACACACACACATATACAGACGGTTAGTCAGGACACTTTGGGACACTGCGCTGTCACTGAGGCTGTAATCTGATGTTTACATGCTATCAGCTGTTATCTCCCCAGGAAACAGTAACTTCTCTGCCCTGAGTGTTACCACATCCCTCTGCAGAAGGTCAATGACAGTGAATTATGTAATGCTTTACAGGAACAGGCAGTGATTAAATGGAAACTGGAAACTTGCATGTATGACTGACTATGACTTGTCAGTGGACAGGATACACCAAATGTGTGTTTGTTCGAAGTACAACAGTACAAATCCTGAAGAGAGAATGGACTGGTATGTGTAGATGGAAATGACAGTGGTGCAGTCTACTTACTGGGACTGGTGATGCCAGATCCCTCCCTGTCTGTTCTCCTTGTCCGAGCGCTGGCTGATCTCACTGTAAAGGGGGGGGGGGGGGAAAGGACAAATTAGTATCATTATCTGGAAAGTCTAGAGCAACTGTACTACAATCAACAGTAGTGGCATTGCACATTCATCAACATGAAGCTCACCATTAGAAGAATACATGATAAACACCTCGAGTGGCAGGTTTGGTTGTTGCTTGTCCTATAAAAGACTTAACAATGCTACAAAACATGCATAACCACCAAGTGGAAAACATTTTCTTCGCATTCTCCTTTGGGCCAAATTCTCCACAGTTGTCATGTGGAAAAACAAAGTCAGCCGATATTTGAATGTTCACTATTATTGCTTGACCACTGAGAAAATGACATTTGGTTACTGAAAGAAAGCCAGATTTTTATCTCAATTTCATTGTGGCTTTTATATTTTTACTACTTTGAGGATGCTGTAGAAATAATTAGGATTAAACTGGATGGAAAGAATGCATGGATAGGATGAATAGGGTAGAAAGAAAACTGCATGGCACAGTGTGACTGCTCTTCCACTATAAAAATATTTGTTGTGTTTAGTTAAGTAACTTGTGAACCTGCAGGTAAGTTAAACGCACAATGGCAGGATTTTCCTAGGACAAGAATGTATAGACTTTTACAAAAAGAAACCCTCTCAATCATCAGTTATATCCCACTACAATTGTGTGGCAATGTTTGTATTGACAGAGGTAGACCATGCTGCCCTCTTTTCTATTTAAATGTTTTTACTTTTTGGACCTTTCTTGGCGTCTACCAAACCAAGAATACATGTCTGGGGTTGTCTTTAAACAGTCGTCGAGCATCCTAACTATTGTTGAGCCTGGGGAAAAAACATTACTCCGTGTGCATTAAAGCTTAAAAGTCCAAGTGCTAATCACAGAAAGGGTCAATAAGAGTTGAGAACATTCAGGGAAAATGTAATAAGACCCGGTTATCTCATATTGATTTGAACATTTTACAAAACAACTGAGAATAAGGAGACACATTTGTCACTTTGAGAGAACCCCAGAAAAAACCTGACACTCTTATAGTAACACATTAATCTTCTGGCCATTTTCCAGTATGTTTAGCTTTTTGTACAGCCTCATTCATGCTCATCTAACGTCTCCCAGTGCCAACAGCCAGGCCCAACATGACACCGGCTGGTTCAGGGGAACGACTCGTCCTCCTGGCTGACCCTCTGTGCCCTGACACTGGTGGAATGCTCCGGGTAATCTCTCATTGATCATCTCTGGTGCTGTGTGTGTGTGTGTGTGTGTGTGTGTGTGTGTGTGTGTGTGTGTGTGTGTGTGTGTGTGTGTGTGTGTGTGTGTGTGTGTGTGTGTGTGTGTGTGTGTGTGTGTGTGTGTGTGTGTGTGTGTGTGTGTGTGTGTGTGTGTGTGTGTGTGCTGAATCATCACCAGGCACTGCTTGAGGGAAGGATGATCCAAACAAGGACAGCTCTGTTGTTGTTTGTTCGGATGTGTGATTCAGATTTATTAAATCAGTTGTTTTTTCCATATCTTTGTTCTGGACTAAAATATCTCTACAATTATTGAATTGCCACACAGTTTTGTACAAATATTCACTGTCTGCTTACAATAAACCCTAACTACTTTGGTGATCCCCTTACTTCTCCTCTAGCACCACCATAGGGTTCACATTTATGGTTTCCTGTTCCTAAGATCACTCACAATCTTTTGCGACTCCCCCCATGTTCCCTGCATCATCCAGTCTGCTGTTCAGATGAGGTAAATTAATCCGGTAGCTGGTGAGTCAAATGTCCCATACTTTATTGAAGCTCTTAGAAAAACTTCTTACCGCAAATCACGCGATGATGGTGTTCACTTTCTGCCAATGTTGCCAGCAAACATGGTGGTTTTCTGTCTGTGTTGTTATTGGTTTCAACTCAAAGACAGCTGGAGACAGCTATGAAGCCAAACAAGTGACACCAAAAATAACAATACTGAAGAGCTCCCGCTAAAAAGTCAGTACCTTAAAAGAGAATCCGACATTCACATACCATGATTGGCCAGCTTTAACAACTATTTTGCCTACCACTGAGGTCAGACAACGGGTCATATGAACTAAGTCTTTATCAATAATAAACCAAAAGTGGCAAAAACCCACACTAAAATATTGTGGTAATGGCAGTAAACATAACATCTAAAATACCTTGTGTGAGAAATGTACTCTGTATACAATATACTACTGTTACTCTGATACCGACAACAATCCTATTTGTTCCACAATAATCAATAAACAGAACAGGCAGCATAACCAGTACACAGCAGCTTAACAAAACATGTCTTTGTTTAACTAATGGCAATGATCCATGTCCTGCGATGGAAAACACTTGTACTTTCTGAGCTCCTGCAAAACAGGTTAACATCATCTTTCAACTAGCAGTGCATCCAACACCTGCTTTATTAAAAGAGACATGAGTCAGGCTGTTTAGTATTATGTTCCTTTTTGTTGTTTGAGTTACGTCCATAATTATCTACGGAGTTATAAATAATGTCCTTAGGCCATTCTGACTTAAAATGTCAACATAAATATAAATTGTTTTAACAGTAAGTATTAATCAGAAATGGGTATAAATGTCAGTAACAGAGCAGCTTCTGGCTTCACTGTTGGTTCGGAGAGGAAGCATTGACTAATTGTTTTGACTTTTGAAATCACTAACTGGGCGTTAAGAGTGTCAAAGGTGCAATAGTGAAAAAGCCAACCCTTATTTCCTGTTTTAAGTGCAAATCATTCATCTGCAATGACCAATGTGATAGCACCAAAAGTTTGATATGTGAGTGCTTATATTTTTATGTGTGTTTTAGAGCTTCATGGCAACATGATGGAACAAATGAGAGGCAGCCAAATCTTTAGAGCCTTGTAGCCAAAAAGCATGCCTGTACCTATTTACTCTTCTAGCTGGGAATACCGTTTGAAAGAGGCGATGTACACACACACACACACACACACACACACACACACACACACACACACACACACACACACACACACACACACACACACACACACACACACACACACACACACACACACACACACACACACACACACACACACACACACACACACACACACACACACACACACACACACACACACACACACACACACACACACACACACACACACACACACACACACACACACACACACACACACACACACACACACACACACACACACACACACACACACACACACACACACACACACACACACACACACACACACACACACTAATTTGACCAAAGTTTACCAATGCAACAAAGTCCTGGAGCGCCGAAGCAATGCCAACACAACACCTAGTTATCTTGATTAAATGATGTTTGGCATTTAAGAGTTATAATTTGCTGCATGGTTTACAGTGAGGGCAAAGTACTGACATACATAAATCATGTCGGCGAACTGAAGTGAGCTTAAATACAAACTAAAAGAGTGACATCTGAAAAGTTAAACTGTATGTTGGCACAAAGGTGTGTATGTGTGTGAGTGTTTATGTGTGTTAACCTGCTCAGTCTTGTCTGGGGCCACAAAGCACACACATAAACACACACATCACATATCATAGGGGAACAGGTTTCATAAAAACCTCCCAACACTCAGCTTCATGTCTTTTTTCCCCTTAAGGCGATTTGTAATCTTCTGAGGTCATATTTGCCTTATGACACTGCTATGTACAACGGAGGTCATTACGTGCACATGACACATGAAAAGAAAGAAACCAGTGTTTATGCTCAAAAACTGCTTTGAGCATTGCCTGAAGTCATATTGTGGACCCGAGTTATTGCACTGCTGCCTGTGTATTTGCTATAGGCCTGAACTGATTGATGTCAGTTGCACAGCTTGGCATAGCCGTGTATGTGTGTGTGTGTGTGTGTGTGTGTGTGTGTGACATGACCGGTCAAGTGCACGGCTATGCCTGGACAAACATGTCAACAGATTAGTTATTGGTCTCAGATGACTGGAGCAGGTACACAGAGGGTGCAGCACTTCAATGTACTTGAAACACACACACACACACACACACACACACACACACACACACACACACACACACACACACACACACACACACACACACCACACACACACACACACACACACACACACACACACACACACACACACACACACACACACACACACACACACACACACACACACACACACACACACACACACACACACACACACACACACACACACACACACACACACACACACACACACACACACACACACAGATTTACAAAATGCATTGTCTGTCTAAATCACAACCACACACAACTACCTGAGATTTGTGTGTTTGCGAAAGGAGGCCACAGCATGTTTTATTTGAGCATGGTGAAGGATGTTTACCTCACTTCTTTATTTCCCAGCCTTTTCTTCTGTCATTTGCGACTTCCACCTTCCCTTTAGGGCTAGGTGGCGTTTCAATCCAAAACATTAATCAACTTTGTGGTACACACAATTTTAAACATGATGAAAGATGTGTTTTCTTATTTATTAATCCCTGCTGTAGTTCCCTCTATCATTCCTTCTGGTTCACACACTTGTAAGTGAGCTATCACTTTAACCTGCATGTTCGTGATAGGTGAAACCATACTGTGTTTTATTCACAGGATTAGCCAATGAAAAACGTTCCAGTCACATTACTTTATTAATTAATTATTTCTAAATTCATTTTGATAATATAAAAGGCAACTTGCATCTGTTCTACATGTAGCACCAACATATGCTGACTCTTATGAGTATGCATTGAGTCATGAGAAATCAATATGCTCAAGATACAAATCCAAAATGTAAACCAAGTAATAGTTTTCTTTTTTTATTAAAAGAAAGCAAAAAGTTATTTATAAAATCTAATTGTGCTTCCCTTTGTTCAATGCTCATTTATCTCTTGCATCTCCTTTTCTTTTATAATCCTGTAACACATTTTTCAACAATCCCATTTTGAGCAATCCAATCAAATTTAAAGGACATGATCTAAATCTCTTTC